CGTGCCGCACGGCTCAGCTGAGTGGTACAGAAAGTTCTCCTCTTGCTCGTAAGTTGGGGTCGGCCACCTTGGCTGACGCGGAGTCCCCACCACCTTGTATTTAACTGATGTGAGGGTGGAGGAGGAGGTGGCCTATTTCACAGCTCCCCAGCGATGGCAATGTATAATGAGCACCAAGAACACTGTTCCAAGCACTAGCGATTTGGTACCCAAAGTCTTCAAAATATGCAAGTTGACAAGAGAGAAGGCCCTACACCCCGACCAGGTTGGCAGTCTGCCCACCCCCACCCCTGTCCCACTGAAAGCTCATCTCTGGCTCCAGGCTCTTGGCCAGTAACCTCAGTCCAGGGAACTCCAGGGCAGCTGCAATGGCCCAGCACCCACACTTGGCTGCTCGTCTCACTCTGACCTTGTGGCTCTGGCTGTGACAAATCTGATTCTGCCTTCACTGTTGGATTGTGCCCTGTGTCCAAGTCTCTCTTGCCTCTGCTCTATCTCTTCCATGAGCAGAAGGTGTGCATGTGCCCGGGAGAGACTCCTGAGAGGCCTGCAGAGTCATGATGCTGAGACCCACTCCCAGTTTTCAGCCAGCCCAGGAGCGTGGGCTCAGGGCAGTCTCCAGACTTGAACGTGGAACTTATCCTTGTGCGATTTGCTCTCTGTGTTTTACTGCTGCTCCACCTTCCAGCCCACCTTCCAGCCCTTCTCGTCTGGCTGGAAAATTGCCTAGTGCCTCTAGCCTTAGACCTGCTTTGTTTCTGTCAGTTCTCTTCCCTTCCTCTTGCTGTCTTATCCCCTGCGTCTTCTGAGAATATCTCCTGTGCAATTCCACCCTGCCCTCACCTGCGAGGACACTTCCCTCCTCTTACCAGGCCCTCCTAAGGCTGCAGACTCAGTGACCTCCCCGGCCTTCCCTGGCCGACGCCATTCTGAGGATATCCTGCCGCTCTATGCTGGCTGTTTTCCCTCATGCTCTCTTTTCCTCCCCAGCACCTGGAACACCTCGCCTTCCTTGCTGGTTAACCGTCCACATCAGGGCATCTCGAGCCCAGGCTCCTGTAGTGCTATCGTAATACTCACTAGAGATGTGCCCTATCTCTCGTACTTCGGCCTGCCCAGGAAACCGAACCTCTGCCTATCTCTACTTTTATCCCTCTCTTTATCTTTATGTTTGTATTCTACTTCCTTTTTTAAGTCTGTCTCCAGCTGCTTCTCCTTCTCTAGGCCTGCCATCCCCAGAGGAGAGAATAGAAAGCCTAACGAATAATGGACTAAGCATGCCCCACACCAACACGGAGATGTTTGCCCCTGACCGAGTCACTGCCCGTGGCGGCCTTGGGGAGCACCAGTGGACCACGGAGCCAGTGGAGAAAACCTCCCAGGAGATTTGATTTCAAGCTGTTTTCCTTACAGCCTCTTACATAGGCCTTGCACAAGCCTGTCCCCTGGAAGTCTGGAGGACTGTTGCAAGCAGCCCGGCGGGCCTGTTGGGGTACTGCCTGATGGGCACCCAAACTACAGCCCTTGGCTGAACAGCTGAAAGTTTCCGTGCTATTTCACATAAACTTACAGCTGGTGTCCCTAAAGTCAAACTTGTCAAATAAATAAAATCAAAGCTGTGAGGCTGTTATCTAAAACCTGCTCCAATTCTATTCCCAAGATAAGATGAAGACAAGAATCCCTTCTAAATCTGTACATTGTACGTAGAGGCGAGGACTTAGGAGGTTCTTCCACTGCGAAGGTAGGAGACATACGTTTCTTCAATGTGGTGAATGTCCACTGCCCCCAACCTCCAGGTGCAATTTCTAGGGGAGTTGGCCACTCTAGCCTTTTCCTTGGCTCTCTGCTAGGACTACTGGGCTGTTAATTGGCCTAGCCACTGGATGAACGTCAAGTTTGCCTCTGGATCATTTGATCCTGTGCCTTAACCTGCAATGCTGGGATTTAGCAGCAAGAATTGCTGAGGCGAACTTCGCAGGACAGTAGCATGAGGTTTGCAGAGCCCTGCTCCTTCCAGGCCGTGCTGGCTTTGAAGGGCTCTGCTCGCCATGAATGGATGGATGGATGGATGGATGGATGGATGGATGGCTAGATGGGGACTTCTTATGCTGACCGTGAAGAGAATTGTTTTCCCCTCTTATATGGGGTAATATTTTGAAACATCAATGGATATACTTTTTGTCCCTGACAATATATGTTTATTCCTTGGCTTTTCCACTCTTAAGAACTGAGCAATGACAGCAGTATCATCTCTATAGGATTGCCATGAAGATTGAATAAGGCAATTTGGAGAGGAAGCTGCTTGGCCAGGGTATTAATTTCTAGCAAGAGGTTCAATGTATGGCAGCTACTCCCCACTGTACGTTGGCACCTTGCCTGAGCTCACACAGCTAGTAAGTCTAGAGCGCAGACCTGTCCTACCCCTTGGGAGGGTTTCTCCAGAACCTCATTCTTCATTCTTAGAGAGATAACAGCATCACTGAGGCTTCCCAGCACTAGCGTGGGCCAGTCCTCCCCTCCCTCAAGTGGTCACACCGAACCAGCAAGAAAAAAAGACTTGGTGTTTGTGTATGTGTTCACGTGTGTGTGTGTGTGTTCACGTGTGTGTGCGCTGGGGGTAAGGGTGTAGGAGAAGTCTGCTTTCCCATTTGGGAAGTTATAATATGCAGGAGGACTCAGGTGTGATTTCTCAAAACACCTTACAAGAACAGAAGCCCTCACTGTCGATTTTGGAAGTCTACACCCCATGGCTCTGAGGGCCCCTCAAACAGAATGAAATGCAGAGCCAGATGGTGCAGCAGAGGAGCTAGCAGTTCAGTTCTCCTTGGCCCCTTCTGTCTGGGTCTTTTACATAAACAGAGCTGCAGAGCTTCTGTACAAATAGAGGGGCCTCCCGGCTCCCTCCACTGCCACGCTGGCTCCAGAAGTCTCTGCTTGCCCTGAATGGCAAGTTTGGGCCAAATGACCTTGGTTGGAATCCAGTTACACCAGGCTCCAGCTGTGTCTCCTGGGCGATTAATGCTGCCCTCTGAGCCTCCGAGCTGAGGGAGAATGAAGGAAAAGAGCCAGCCTCCGAGAGGTGGCGATATTTAAGGTGGGTGGAAATGTGCTTGGAAAATCAGCTTTTTGGCCAGAGGCACAGTTGGTATCTCAATCTCACCAAAGGACAGCCCCCAGGACCTTCTAAGTCTGAGCTCCCAAGAGAGGACAGGGCCCGAGAGCAGACAGAGGTGCTCAGGGCTCCTCAGGCAGAGATAGCTTGGGGCGAGCCAGGTCTCCCTGCTCCCACGTGTGAGCTGCTGCTGCCACAGACAGCAAGGGGTGGACCTGTGTGGACAGGTGATGTCTCACAGGTGGCTTCTGTGCATGCCCGGGACTCAGATTCCTTCTTTGAAAGTACATAGCTTCAATCCCGGGAGGGTTTGCTGTGGAAAGCCAACCAGTGGTGCATTTCCTCCGCGTGAAGGGCTCACCTGCGATTCTCACCACTTCTATTTTTCCGGTGCTAACCAGCAAGAGCAACAACAAACTGTCAGCAGTCACAAAAGCATCCATCTGCGGTCGCCATCTGAACATTTTATAAAACCGTGTTTCAGGAAGAGCCTTCAGTCTCTACATTAGCATCCAAACACAGCTCTCCTGTGTGGGATATCGATACGTAATTAGTGGGGCAGGCGCGCGGCCTGGGTGGGACCCACTTGCAGGGAGCACGCTGCAAAGACTTGTGCAGAGCACCACATGGAGCAGTCAGGTGACAGAGCCCATGTGCCACTTACAGGACGCCCTGTACGCACAAATCCAGCTTTGCAAACTAAATAAGTCAAAGTCTTATTTTTCTTTTTTTTAAGATTTTTTCCTCAGGGCTCCTTTTGATAAAGACTTGTTCTGGATCACTGACAATATAGTCTGATTTACAAAAAGCCCATCTGTTCCCAACACAGTGTGTAAAAACGCAGTGGTTGGTTTAGCTACCCAAAAAGGAAGACCTACTGCTTAAACGAGAACGCAACGGCAATGTCCAGTTGACGTGCAAGAGCACTTCCTTGCAACTCTCAGGAGAGACTATGCTTTAAGAGCTTGTCCCGGTAAATCATAACTACAACCAGTACAGCTGAGGAGGCTGTGTGGCTTATGGGTAAGGCGGTGAGGAAGGAGCAGGAGATCATTTGTCACCACCATCCGCGATGATGGAGGATGTTTGAGATGGACCAGGACAACGGAGGCTGGCTTGTGCTATGACGGAGATGGGGCTTAGGCCTGAAAGGCATCATGGGTCAGGACCCAGACACCAAGGAGATCACAGACACCCAAGGATAAAGCAAAGCTGTGCTCCTGAGGTTGAAACAGAAGCAGGGGGTCAAGAGTCCTGAGACTTCCGGCAGGCAGAAACCAGAGAGGCAGGTACTGTGCATGGGAGGGGCCTTTGGCTCCCGCCCTGTGAGTGGAGAGTGGGTAAGTCGCATCTCAGAGGTATGAGATCCCTTGTCTGGAAGGCAGAGCCAGTGGCCAGTCTGGAAATAGGGACTAGTGTGAGTGGTTTGTGTTTGGAAGAGGTGGGGGCGTCATGTCCCAAAGAACAGGAAATTAAATCTTACTTTCTGCTGCCTCCCTGTCTACAGTCCCAAGATCTAATCTTTCTGTAAATTCTTGTCACCTGAGTGGGGGACAGGCCAACTTGTCAGGGATCCAAGACAACATGCTCTTTCTAAAGCCACGCCTTCTGCTTATCTGGGGCTGAAGGAAGTTCTCCAGGACGGAAGTTGAAGCCCAAGGCCCTCAGCATCCGACTTGCCCTGTTCTTCCTGCTGCTGCAAAGCTGTGGAAAGAGCCAGGCGGCCTTCCACAATAAGGGACGGGAGACACGGTCTCTTCTGTCTGCCCTGTGTCTTCAGGATGTTGGAGCAAGTAGGAAAGCCAAAGAGACGGGGGTCCCAGAGCACGCATTTTGCTGAGAGCTTTCTCTGAGGGCAGGCAACCTGAGAAGAATGCCCAGTGGGGGAAGATGATTAGAGGTCAGTATATTCAGGTTGCTATGAGGAGAGGGAGGGACAAATTGCAGACATTCATTCTTCTGTATTAGGTAGCACCCTCCAGCAAGTCCATTTTTATCTCTGACCAAATGACAACAGGAGAGGTATCCTGATCAAATCTGAGGTACCACAGAGCCGTAAGGAAAAGCTCGTGCATTAGGGCAAAATTTGGGTCTAAAATAATCTCAAGAGGAGGGAGAAAATGAGGATTTAACCTGATACATGTTAAGTCTTCACTAAGGTGCAGAAAGCACAGTCCCAGGTACTGAATGGAAGAAGCATGGCTTGTCAGGAAGCAGGGAGGGCGAGAGTATGGCAGCGAAGTCCACCTGGGCCAGCAGTGGGGGAGGGCGGCCACGGTGCTGAGGTGGCTTCAAGCTGCGTTCACTGAAATGCTGAGTGCGTGTCTTCTTCTGGCTGGCCAGAATAGCACCAGGGTCTGCAGGATGCTTCCTAGGAAGGAGTTCCACAAAAGAGAGACCGTGAGCATGAACGTGGTAGCAGGGGGTAGCTGGGTGCGAAGCCAAGCTATATCCGAGAAAACAAAAGAGCCTGAACATGTGGTCTGTAGGAAGAAGCTGAGCGCAGGTGGGCACCTAACTTGTACGGCCTAGTGTGAAATGGACATGCAGGACCCCTTGTAAAAGTGGGGGCCGGTGGGGGGAGGGGGAGTGCCACTAAAGGCACTAAAACATAAACCTTCCTCTTTTAAAAATAATGTTTTATGGGCTAGCTGGTGGTGTGGTGGTTAAGGCAGTTGGCTCCCACATTGTCAACTACATGGTTTGAGTCTCAGACCCGGCAACTTGAAACGCATGCCAGGTGCATTTTACATGCATGCCCAAAATCCCAAAAGGAGGAAGAAATGCAAACAAAGGGATGCATGGTGGGCACTTTCTTACCCCCCCCACCCGTGAGTGCATGTGCCCTCTGGCAAATTTTTTTTTTGTTTTTTTGTTGTTGTTTTGGAGAGGTTTTTGCTATAGGGCATGTGAGCTCACCAGACAGACAGACAGAGACAGAGAGACAGAAAGCGAGAAATCACCCCCCGGGGGAATGGCCACACCACAATCCCTTCTCCTCCATTCTCCTCTCAGGATCTTGGGTACGCACACACACATGCCTGTCATAGTTTAAGCCACCAGGTCCGGGACTTGAACTGCAGTTGACTACATGGGAGTCCAGCGACATAGCCATTACACCAACTGTTGGTCTCCTGAATTTTGAAATAATAATAATAATGATGTTTTATTTCTAAAGCATAAAAGGGGTAATAAATAATGGTACATGTGTAGCAACATAAATGTATAGATTGCAAAATTATATTTTGGTGTAATAATTTCATATAAGATGATCAATAATAACTTATTAGTGTGAGAGATGGCTGAGTATAAGATTTTTCTGGCTCATTGTTCTGCAAGTTCATTTATGCTTTTAGTGATTTTATTTTCAATCAATATAATTGAAGGCAGTGGGAGTTGCTTGTGCCAAATGTGAGACTACGTGTGGATAATAGATTATTTTTTTAATTTTGGAAACGATCTTTTTGATGATGCAAATGTTACTGAGCTATTAAGAGTAGTCTAGGGACCAGCAGATAGTGTAATATTTGTGTTGCTGAACTCCCATGTAGTTGACCACGGTTTGAGTCCTGGACCCAGTGGCTAAAACCTCACACTGGGCATGTGTGCGTGCGTGCCCAAGATCCTGAGAGGAGAATGGAGGAGAAGGGATTGATTGCAGTGTGGCCATCCCTCAGGGTGGAGGGTATGATTTCTCGTTTTCTGTCTCTCTGGTGAGTGCACATGTGCTATAGCAAAAATCTCTCTCTCTAAAAAAAAAAAAAGAGAGTATTTTATAGGCTGTAGCAACATTCGGATACATTTCTACTGAATTATTTTGAAACATATATTTTCGTTCTTCTGGAGTTGATGATTCTCATGAAACAATTTTTCTAAAAAGATTTAACTCTTCATACAAACCACTTTCATATAATCTGAATTCAGTTTTAATGTAATTTTATACAATGGCATTTAGAAGTTTCCTCTGACACTTCCTGTACCTTGCAAAACCCATGTAAGAAACGGAAAGTGGCTTTATGGTTTTATAAAATTCAGAATACCTTTTTATGTATTCTATCACCATATCTTCAATTACAAGGGAAAATGAATTTTTAAATGCCCGTATTAAAAATGGGTTCATCTGACGCTTCACATAAAAATAATGCTCTTTTCCATTGAATGCAATCATCTTTCCATTTACTGTCTCCTGGGCTGCTGTGAATGTTTGTTTTGCAATGTCACAGCAGTTTTCAAAACTGGAGAGTCTAAACTCTTCAAAGATGTCTAACTCCTTGATATGCTTTATTGCCATGTGTATGCTTCTATTTTGTAATAATTTATTGACAAAGTTTGCCATCTTATTTTCAGCAATAACTAGTTTGGCATCCAAGCCAGAGCTAATGTGTGTGCAGATGCTGTAAGGAGAGTGCTGTGGTTTAAATGCTTGGATCCCCTCTAAAATTCATGTAGCAACTAACTCTCCTTGTGAGAGTATTAAGAGGTAGGGCCTTTAGGAAGTGATTACATCATGAGCCCTCAGGAATGGGATCCGCAGCATTAGAAAGGAGGTGCTAGGAGCTGTTGGGCCCTTTTGCTCTTCACCCTGAGGAGCATTGTTCCTCTGGTCCTTTTCACCCCTTCGGTCATGTTAGGACATAGCAAGAAGGCCCTCACCAGACCCCTGATGCTGGAGCCTTGGTGTTGGACTTCTTAGCATCCAGAACATAAGGAGTGAATTTCTGTCTTTATAAACGACACAGTCTTGGCTATTTTGTTACAGCAGCACAAATGGACTAAGACAGATGGTTCCGGGACAGGCAGGCCAGCTGGCTGCCCACAGTGGTTCTACCGCAGCTCTCTCGGGCACAGTCCCACCTCACTCTCAGGGCCGCGGCCGCTGCGGCCACCGCTGCTGTGTCTGCCACCACTGGCACTGTCATTGTCTTTGATCTTGGCTAGGTCCCCCCCAGGGCTGCCAGGCCAACTGCTTGGCATGCATGCTGCCCACTGCCCTTACACATATCATGCATATCATGCTGCCACCTGGTGCATCTCCCGTACTCTCTCGCGTGCACACACCCTCCCCGTGCTCCATTGTCCCACCAGGCTTCATCGCAAGACACAAGGTCTACAACAAAATCATTAAGAATTCATGACAGCAGCAGCAAGGCATTTGTCCAAAAGGCAGAGCCCCTTCTGACAGTGGCCCTGTACGGCCACACAGGTGACACACCCACGAAGCTGACTGCTTGTGGGACAGGCTCAGCTACGTGATGGGGGCCCGAGCTGGACTCAGAGCCGTTGGGGGATGAGTAACTCCACACCACTGGCTTTGTATTTCCTGCACGACTCGCACAAAGAAGCTGTGCCTCAGAAGGGAGGGAGTTAGGAGGGAAAGATGGTCTGTTCCTAGACCTGGCACAGCCTCTATCACAGGTACGTGACCCTCAGTCACAGGTACGTGACCCTCAGTCACAGGTACGTGACCCTCAGTCACAGGTCTGTGACTGAGCCCTTGTAGAGGGAAGTTGCAGGCAAAGCTGAAAGAGCTGTTTTCTCAGGGACCTTGTGAGACAGGGAGAATCTCACGGGGACCCCTGGGGGCCTGGGTGACTCATGGCACAGAGCCTCCCACTGCTCTGATGAGTAACAAGCCTGGGGCGGGGCCACCAAGCACTGCGGAGTGACCCAGCAGCTCTGGCTCCTCAGGACTCCAGCTGGGAGCACCAGCCCAGCTCTTACTGCAGACGCCAGCAGAAGTACTATGGCAGCATCCTGGTTGTGCGGGGCTCCCTACCCCGCACAGAAGGGGCCAGGAAGGAGAGGACAAGAATTACAGGAGCCAGAGGTAACGGAGCACTATTAGTGAGTTGGATGGGACACAGGAACACAAGCTAGTAAAGCTAATCAGTGTCACTAATGGGGTTCAGTTTATAATCAAGGAACCTAGGGGAAATAGGCTATGGATGCCATCTAGGTCTTGAGCTTTTCAAAGCCGAACCTCTATGAAGATCGACAGGTGTATAAATAGTGGGGAGACACCTCTCATGTGAGGAAGGCATTCTAACTAAAACCTGGCCAGGGCAGGCTTTGGGCTATCTTGAATTAGTTCTAACAGATTGTGTAGAGCTGGATCAAGAACCTTGGGTAGGGGTTGGCAGGTGGCATGGTGGTTAGGGGTGCTGGACTCCCACGTGGCCGACCATGGTTTCAGTCTTGGATTTGACAGCTTGCTCTCTCTCTCTCTTTCTCTCTCTCTGTCCCTCTCTGGTCAAATTAAAATAAATAAAGTTAATTTTTTTTTTAATAAAGAAGAACCTTGGATAGGAGATGAAGGAAGGGGTTGGGACTAGGGAAAGGAGGCACTGCTTTTTGAAGTGCTGCTGGAAGACTACCTGTATCAGCATTTGTGAGGAGGGTGACAAAATGCAGATTCCTGGTCTCCACAGAAATTCTCTAATTCTGTAGATTTGGATATGGCCTGGGAATCTCAATCTTTTTTAAAAGGTTTTTGCCATAAAATACACCATTTACCAGAGAAAAGCAGAAGAGACAGTGAGAGGGAAAGTGAGAAATCACCCCTCAGTGGGGATGACCACACACAATGTCTTTTCCTCCATTCTCCTCCTGGGCTCTCGGGCGTTCAAGCCACCAGATCTGAGACTCAAACCGTGGTAGGCCATGTCGGAATCCAGTGCCTTAACCACTACGCCACCTGCTGGCCCGAGGATCTGAATCTTTAACACATGTGCCTGACATTTCTACTGTGCACTCAGGCTTGAGAACCACGGTATTAAGGTCTTTGCAGCTATAAGATATGAGTCTCAGCCTTGTTCTCCCTGTCCTTGGAATAACGCCACCAGCAGTTGCAGAGAGCCAGGGTGATGGACAGAGGTTCTCCCTGTGAGTCTCATCCCCTCAGGTCCCATCACCAGAACATTGAGTGTTCTGAGCAGTAGTAGAAGTCCAATAATTTTTATAGCATGGATTAAACTTTTCAAACAAACAAACAAACAAAACTAAAAAAATCTTGACATACTTCTTAGGATCAGGCTTTGCAGTCCAAACCACCCTAAGCATTGAAAAGCATAGGTCCTGACGAAAACCTGACCACCTCTCCTGACCACATTAGTTAGGCTTCCCTAGAGCCCTTCCTCTTCTCAGTGAGGCTCACCCTTCAGCTTCCATTTCTGTCCTTGCTGAATCCCCCGGCCCTTGGTATACCTGCTGTAGTAGTCTGGGCAAAGTCTTCCTAACCATTGTAGCAGTGTCAGAATAACTTTTTTCTTTAACAGTTATGGTGCCACAATTCAGGCAGGACCAGATGCATGACCGGACCCTGGACCTCTCACCCAGGACCCCAAATGTACAACTTGGAAGCCTTTATCTTAT